GAACTGAGTTACTGCGCCGGTGCGTTGAGTTGGCGCACCAATCCATTTGCGCCAACTCTAAAAATTCACCGAGTTACCCAGGCCTAGTGGAGTGAACTGGGCTAAAACTAGCAACACCCAAATCGACATTAAACAGTTCATACTAATCGGTTGTTTGGTCAGATGGTTTATTAAACATCCAACTGAAGAGCGCGTTCCATTTTACTAAGAAGGGCCTAATTCCATCCATGCTATAGATCGGCTCTGAAAAGGCGAAATAAAAGTTTATGCTCGTTAAGTAAATTGCATTTCTTTAAATTGCTGTTGAACAGTTTTCATTTAGGTGAGTTTTTGCGGCTGGAAACACCAATTTTATATGGAGATCCTGGCGGAAGCCATCCGGCCAACCGGATTTGAGGCCGGGAGATTCTTCTCCTAGTTTTACGTGCACAAATTGCCACATTTGCCCTAAATGAAAACGCTCACCATGCAATTCTGCAGCTGAAATGGAGTATCTATTGGTCATTTGAAGCAGCTTAATACTGTGGAGAATTGAAGTTGCACACGTTTGTACAATGTATTGAGGAAAATGATAATTTTGAATCGGAGAAAATAAGGGGACAGTAAATCATCCTGCAGGATACATTTGCACTTTAACTCGGAATCTGGCATTACGCTCTACAACATTCCGGCTGTAGAGCTTCACTTACTGGCAGTGGTGGAAGTAGTCCCAGCTACTCCTGTACAGCCAGCATTTTGCGGAAAATCGCAAACGTTCTTGGCAGGATTGAATTCCAGTCCTTCGGGACATGCGAGGTACTTGGCGACTCCGTTAGAGCACTGGCAGAATCCGCCGCAGTATTCCAACGCTATATATATGGAGTCTTCCCCATCCACTTCTGGACACAAGCTGGACACTATTCAACAGATCAGTAAAGTGCTTCAGAATCATTCACTCATAAGCATCCCTTACACTCATCACAACTGCTTTGGTAACCCGGCGTACTCAGCTGCTCAGTGGTAGTGCTGGAAGCAGCAGTGGAAGTAGCAGCCTCTGAACTGGTTGATGCTGCAGTAGTGGGAGCAGCCGACGAAGACTCAGTGGAAGTCCCTAAACAAGACCAGCTGACTTCTAATACTCCCTGATTGTCTGTACGTACTGGATGTGGTCGAGGAGGTTCCATTAGTTCCAGTACAGCCCGCATCTTGCGGCCAGTCGCAGACGTTCAATGAGGGGTTGAAATGCAGCCCAGAGGAGCATGAATGGTAGTAGGCTTGCCCATTGGAGCACTGGCAGAAGGCGCCACAGTCCTCAAGAGCAATGTAGACTGGCTGTGCGCCATCCGGGACAGGACACAGCTGGGACACTGCGCTTAAACTGTTGAAATCATGACTCCAACACTTTTCACATACTCACGTTCGTCACAGGGACCTTGTCCTCCTGGTGCAACAGTTGATGGTTCTGCTGTGGAACTTGAGGCTGTTGTAGTTGGGTCAACTTTAGCCGAGGTGCTGGCGGCTGCAGTTGTGTTCTCTGGCGGTTAAGTGGTGGATACAATCGGCCATAAGTTACACACAAAGATAGATACCTTCAGTGGCAGCACTACTGGTGGTGGTTTCCTGCGAAGAAGCGGCTGTAGTCGCTTCCTCTGCACCAGCAGTGGTAGTTTCATCCGCAAGCGCTGTAGTTGATGCTTCCCCGTCTGCTGCTGTCGTCTCATCCCAAGCATCCCCATCAGTTGCGGTTTCTACCTCAAGTTCAGTAGTGGAAATTACATCATCTACTGCAGTAGTGGTTTCTTCATCAGCTACTTCTGTTGTTGACTCCGCATCTTCCTCTGGTGTAGTTGCTTCGTCATCAGCGTCTTCTGTTGCTGACTCCACATCAACTGCAGTAGTGGCTTCTTCATCAGCGACTTCTGTTGTTGAGTCAACATCTTCCACTGGTGTAGTTGCTTCGTCATCAGCGTCTTCTGTTGCTGACTCATCATCATCAACTGCAGTAGTGGCTTCTTCATCAGCGACTTCTGTTGTTGAGTCCACATCTTCCACTGGTGTAGTTGCTTCGTCATCAGCGTCTTCTGTTGCTGACTCATCATCAACTGCAGTAGTGGTTTCTTCATCAGCRACTTCTGTTGTTGASTCSASATCTTCCACTGGTGTAGTTGCTTCGTCATCAGCTTCTTCTGTTGCTGACTCGTCAACTGCAGTAGTGGTTTCTTCATYAGCAACTTCTGTTGTTGACTCCACATCTTGCACTGGTGTGGTACTTTCATCATCAGCTTCTGTTGCTGACTCMMCATCATCAACTGCAGCAGTGGTTTCATCCTCAGCTACTTCTGTTGTTGACTCAACAATATCAACTGCAGTAGTGGGGTTCTCTTCACCAGCTGGAGTGGTTGCTTCACTCTCATCCGCCCCAGTAGTTCCTTCATCAGGAAGCTCGGTAGTCACCTCGTTGTCAGGTTCAGTTGAGGGACGTGCAGTCGAAGTGGTCGCATTGCATCCAGCCCTGTAGGGGTAGTCGCAAACGTTCAAAGTGGGGTTGAAGTGCAATCCTGCGGGGCAAGTTTGCTGATACGCTTTTCCGTTGGAACATTGCCAGAACTTGGTGCAGTCAGCATCAGGAAAATAGACTGAATCCTCGCCGTCGACCGGTGGACATTCTCCTGGAGCTGAAAGGAGCAGACAGCTGATGCAACCCGAAGTGGGGATGTGCGGAAAATTACCTCCAGGTGATACAGTTGCTGAGCCTTCAGTGGTAGTTTCAGCTTCACTTTGTGAATCATCAACTTCCGTTGCTAGATCGTCTACTGTGGTCCATTCAGTTTCACCTGCTGCTGTAGTTGCCTCGCTATTGGCACCGGAGGTAGTATCAGCTTCAGTAGTTGCTTCATCAGCAATCTCAGTGGTTCCTTCTTCAGAGGTTTAAGAGAATCATCGTCAGTCATCAACGAATAAAAATAACAATCAGTAATAACCTTCCGAAGTAGATCCGCCTGCATCATCTGCAATGGTAGTAGTCTCATCCTCAATCACTTCTGTAGGAGTTTGAGTGTCTACCACTGTGGTAGTCACAACGTTTCTGGTTGACAAGGTGGTTTCCTTATCCACTGGGGCAGGTTGAGTGGGGGCGGTGGTCCAAATGGAGGTGGTTGAGGGCTCGTCGGTGGCCACTTCTGCAAAAGGGAGGTAGTTAAGTGGCCAATGGCCATTCACTGTTGCTTACCACATGTGCAAGTGCACACTGTAGGAGCGCATTCATTTGAACCAGTTGGTCGGTTCGTGTTGGTTACTGGGATGGTCGTAGTGGTAGTCGGAACTGAGGCTGTAGATGCAACATTCTCCGTTGTTTCCCACAACTCATCCTCATCTACAACGAACATTTAGTGCTATTCTAGATCCAGCAAGGAGTATTTACCGGGTGACTCCGTTGTGGTTGCTTCATCCCAACTTTCAGCCTCCGTGGTTGCTTCCTCACCGCTTCCAACCTCTGTAGTCGTTTCATCTAGAGTTCCAGCCTCCGTGGTGGCTTCCTCACCACTTCCACCCTCTGTGGTCGTTTCATCTCCGCTTCCAGATGCCGTGGTGCTTTCCTCTACGCCTTCTGTAGTCCCATCTTCAACAGACTGGGTAGGAACTTGAGCTTCTGTAGTGGTTTGCACGCTGTCTACCCCACATCCGGCGCTCTCTGGGTAGTCGCACACGTTCAAAACGGGGTTGAAGTGCAGAGTTGCCGGACAACTATGTTGGATCGCCACTCCATTGGAACATTGCCAGAATTTGGTGCAGTCTGGGTCTGGGAAGTAGACCGAGTCATCGCCATCGACTGCTGGGCATTCTCCTGGGGCTGCAACACCATAACTACCCTTAAAGGGAAGGTTTAATATAATGCGCACGCTTTTACCGATGGGGGCTTCAGTAGTGGGGACACTTGGAGTGGTTAGTAGTTCAGTGGTTGAAGATTCTTCGGTGGTGGGGGCTTCTTCCTCTGTCGTGGTGGGCGGTTCACTTGTGGCAGGKTCTTCAGTAGTTGACGCCTCTGCTGTGGTTGAAACTTCTTCTTCTGTAGTGGTCGCTGGCTCTTCAGTAGTGGTTGGWACTTCTTCCTCTGTAGTGGTTGGTACTTCTTCTTCTGTAGTAGTTGGTTCTTCAGTTGTTGSAGAATCTGTGGTCGTTGGCGCGTCCTCTGTAGTCGTGGTAGGAGCATTTGTAGTGGTCGGTTCTTCAGTTGTTGCAGAATCTGTGGTCGTTGGCGCGTCCTCTGTAGTCGTGGCAGCTTCTTCAGTGGTAGGAGCATTTGTAGGGGTTGGTGCTGCATCTGTAGTAGTTGTGGGAGGGTTCGGTGCTGCACTGCCGCCGCAGCCAGCCCGTTCCGGATAATCGCACACATTCAAAACGGGGTTGAAGTGCAGTTCTGCCGGGCAACTGTGCTGGATGGCCACTCCATTGGAGCACTGCCAGAATTTCGTGCAATCTGGATCAGGGAGGTAGACCGAGTCTGGACCGTCTACTGCAGGACACTCTCCTGGTACTGCAGGGAAAATCGTTGAAATTCGCCACTTTTTGGCTGATTGAGAGACTTACAAACTGGGGATTCCGTTTCAACTTCAGGCTCTTGCGTTGTTGTGGTTGTAGGAGTTGTTGTGGTAGTAGTGGGAGTGGTTGTTGTGGTAGTGGGGGTTGTGGTAGTAGTGGGAGTGGTTGTAGTTGTAGGAGTTGTTGTGGTAGTGGGGGTTGTGGTGGTTTTGGGAGTAGTAGTTGTAGTGGGGGTGGTTGTAGTTGTAGGAGTAGTTGTGGTAGTAGGGGTTGTGGTAGTAGTGGGAGTTGTTGTGGTAGTGGGGGTTGTGGTGGTAGTGGGGGTTGTGGTAGTAGTGGGAGTGGTTGTAGTTGTAGGAGTTGTTGTGGTAGTAGGAGAAGTAGTGGTGGTTCGTGTTGTTGTGGTGGTAGGAGTAGTGGTGGAGGTTGTAGGAGCCTGCAAGCAACAAATAAATATTCACACTAAAGCCCTCAACTATCGCCATTTAACTAACCTCACTACTGGACCATCCTTGTCCAGTGCAAGTTGAGGTTGCAATATGAACGCATGTGAGTATCTCCTGGCTCCAATGAGTGCCCGGAGCGCATGGCATCAAATAGGGGACTCCATTGGAGCACTGCCAGAAGTAGGCGCAATTTTCGGTGGCAAAATAGCCCTGTTGCGACCAATCAGTTGGACATGGAGCTGTAAGGCAAATGTGAAAAAGAGCCTCTTGCCGAACAAAAGGTGATCAAACCGTCGGTCTATTCATGAGAATTAATCCGGCGCGATAAGTTTAATCCCAACTCGAAACAAAGTGAGAAATTCCAAAGAAATACAAATTAATTTGATTTGTATTCTTAGATAAGGAGCAATTTTCGCGTCACATTCCGATTAAGAAGCAATTTTGATAATGCGGATTACTATTATCTACACAAGTTCCGCCTGGGAAGGAATTATTAGTTTAACGGGAAACTATTGTTCTGGACGGTTTATTATGGGAATTTTCCTTATATCTATGATCGTTGAGGAAGTTTTATCGAATTGATATCAATCAACCGCACAAATGCGATTAACGAAAGACAATTTGCGGTTTTACTCAAGCAATATAAAATGGGTTTTTCCCTTTGCGCTCGCTTTATTTGCTAATATTTGGCCCATGTATTAATCAGTTGTAGGCGCGATTAAACAAACTGTTTTTCGCAAAGTTTTACAAAAACAGTTTTTCCTAGAAAAACCATCCAAATCTCGGTTAAAAATTGAGCTAAAAGCGCACATTCTAACGCGGAAGTTGGCAGAAACCCAAAGAAAACTGACCGAAGGGAGAAAAAATTTCTCGCAAACTAACTACTTAATGAAACTATCAAGTTTCCTCTTTATGCCACTTTTACTCTCTGGTTTGTTCCACTGAAAGCGATTGTTGATTGAAGAAAACCGTCCAGGAAAAATGTTCAAAAACATTTTAGCGGAGGTTTAAGCAATTTTCAATGTATCGTACACTTTCGGGCTTTCGGGTCAAACATTCTTTGAAGCTGGTTAGTTTTTTGGATTTTTAGTTGCTACGCCACCGCAAAAACTCGCTAGTTGAACGTTTACTTACGTTTCGGCCCTGGATTAACATCATCAGCCCAGCTAAGCGCCAAAACACTCAGTAACACTATAGTCCTTAACATCTTCTAAATGCGCTTTGGTCAGGTGTATTTTTGTGTCGCAATCACCTCTACCGTGTTCAAAAGACTTATCGAAACCGCTAATAGACATTGAGTAGGAAAATCGACGATCAGCTGTATTTAAAGACAATATCTTTGCCGAAGATTAGCTAAATCCTATTAATCCCTATTTTTGTTTTGCGATAATCCAGCGTTTCTTTGCTAGTTTTGCGCGGAATGCTTTTGGCGTTTTGCGCTAATCTTGGGATTAGCGACGGATTTCATTTGAAGCGATGCGTTTCTTTAAGATTCTTTCCGGAAAATCTTTACGGGGGCAATTTTCGATTTTATGATCCCCAATCAATGATTCAGAACTGGAAACTTTTCCACATTTCGTATTTTTCTTATCCAAATCTACTTTTTTTCGTTGCTTTTTTTGTGCTTCAACTCGCTTTCGCATTCGAATTTTACTGCTAATCCTGAAAAATTAATTATGGTTTCCTTTATCAACCACCTTGTTACTTCTAAGCAGCTTTATTTGTCTTCTACATGGAAAATTCGTTTAGAATCACGTAGTTATAAAAACAGATTAAGTCAATTGTAGCTTCAATCTAGTGATTTCATTTCAGTCAAAAGTGATTCTTAAAATGGGAAATCGTTGTAAAATGTGACATTTTTATCGAATTTTAAACAGATTATACTTGAAACATTATAATAAAATGATCTAATCTATTGAGGTTTTAAGTTTAAGCGAATGATTAATTAGGCACTTAATCTAGATCGGAGCCGGTTTTAAAAATGTCTTCAAAAATCTAGACGAAAGTTTAAAGTTGAACACTACAAGCAGCTTTTTTGTAGAAAATTGCCTCAAATGATTTCAATTAAATTAAAAAGAGGTAATTAAAGTAAACGATCCAAAAATGTTTGTTTTTCATGTTGGTTCAAAGCCATTTTGAGCCGAAGAAACGTGCATTCATTTTAAAAAAATCTAACAAGAACACTGTTTGCATGTTTTCGGTGAAAATTGTTTTTCCGATTCAATTCTTCATAATTTTGTGGCTTTTTTAAGCGTAAAAGTTCTATAAAAAAGATCATTGTTTGAACATTAAGTTTTGAACATCAAGCAAACCAGCTGGCAAAAATTTGCATTGCGCCCAATTTTCATGAAACTCTCAGCATTTGTAGAGCCGAGTGTTTTCTAAAAATTGTCAAAAACAAAAATTCCCACTTGCTTTAGTTTGAAAGTTGTGATTTTTTTAAAGAGAGAGTGCAGTTT